ATAATAGCAGTGGTAGTAACAGCAGCGGTAATATTGGTAGTAGCAGCAGCAGCAGCTTTACCCACTTTGTTTTGTTATCTTATCACCAGAGCTGTGTTTTGTTTTTAACCTTGAATGTACTTGCTGACTCAGATACTGGGTAAGCCTGCAATATATTTCTTGATAGGCCTGTACTGTGTAATCTGACGCTCTTTTGTCTGAACGGGAAATACATTCCTTTGGTAGGCTTATCTCCAAATGAGTGCTTTTGCAATGTTGGGTCTTTCCGTTTCTACACAAAGATATGTTAAAACGACATGGACTAATTCTTCTTCTTCTTCTTCTTCTTCTTCTTCTTCTTCTTCTTCTTCTTCTTCTTCTTCTTCTTCTTCTTCTTCTTCTTCTTCTTCTTCTTCTTCTTCTTCTTCTTCTTCTTCTTCTTCTTCTTCTTCTTCTTCTTCTTCTTCTTCTTCTTCTTCTTCTTCTTCTTCTTCTTCTTCTTCTTCTTCTTCTCTTCCACCTTTTACCTCATCGAAGTGTCGGGGGGAGATGTAATGTACTTTGATGAGCTCTGCCAAGAGCACTATTAAGATTGATGTTCATTTCTGTAAGGCTGTTCTAAATGCCATCACTCCATATTTTCCGAGGTCTTCCACTCGCTCTATACCTGTTGTAACGTTTTAGTGTGGCTCGCTGTTGTGGATAGTACCAGGGCAATCTTGTTAGGTGTCCAAACCACTTCATTTGTTTTTCTTTGATGACCTGTAAAACTGGCTTTATTCCTAGCATTCGTCTGATTTCATGATTTCGTATTCTGTCTTTCCTTGAAACTCCTGCAGCTCTTCTAAGGCATTTCATCTCTTTTGTCACAATTTTACGTTCATTTGAGGATGTAAGTGTCCACGTTTGGCATTGATAGCATAGTGTTGGCCAAAAACAAAAGTTCTGATAAGATTCACTTTAGTACTCCGAGGTATCTGCTTGTGTGTCAACAGGGGAGATAGTTGACCCATTCGAACAAGACAGTCCTCTTGTAAGATGTTTTTTTTTTTTTTTTGTCTGCATATATTATTTCAGATATATTGTTTTATTTTTTTACCATCATCATATTATTTTTTATTAAACACCTAAACAAGGCTTAAGATCCCAGGCCCCAATTCTCCTTAGATAATTCGCAATCAGGCCTGGGGCCCTCTCCACAATGTTTTCTTTCTATCGGCGCCACTAACTCTAATTAACAGCGAATACACTTATATTCTATACCAAGGTCTTATTATGGCGGCGCGCAACAGTACACAGTACCGGCACTTTGTCAGTGTTACTTGATTAGACTCACTGTGGTGAATAGCGGCACCTTTTTTTTAAGACTGTGTGGTGAGTACCCGTATCCTTTATTCTTTATTTTTTTTTAAACTGGTTATACCACACGGTCGGCTCTGTGGCTAAGTCGATGCGAAGGCTTCGTAATGCCGGAATGCCAGGTTCGATCCCAGCTGCGGGCCATGCGCCTTGCGTTGGTTTAGACAGTGGTTTCAAGAAAGCCGACCGTCCAGGAGCAATGGCAAACTACTGGACGTAAATTTGCCAAGCAAAACCACACAACAGCCAGGGGCTGTTGGGGTTGGTTCTGCAACGTCCTGTAAAGGATACGCAACTAACATTTTTATATACCATACGAAGCCGCCATATCATGTGAATTATTTATCTGCCAACGGAGCTTAGGCTGTTGTCAACAAAGACTTGCCACCTCATTTGCTCACAGCTGGTTTGCGCTGAAATGTCTTTAAGGGATCAAGCACCTACGTTTTGGTTGCCTCTTGCGGCATACATCTTAGTGTATAGTATTATTTTTCTTTGCTTTCCCTGTGTGGTCTGGTAATATATGGACAAGGCCAGGCTACTACAATAACAAAACTGACACTTTTGTGTTACTAATTTACACACACATACACACACACACACACACACATATATATATACTATATATAATATATAGTATATATATAGTTATAGTTATTATATAGTATATATATACTCTTAGTGAGTTAGTTAGTTAGTTAGTTAGTTAGTTAGTTAGTTAGTTAGTTAGTTAGTTAGTTAGTTAGTTAGTTAGTTAGTTAGTTAGTTAGTTAGTTAGATGGGTTATCATCATTGCACTCCGGACATGTCCATAGGTGCTCAGATCCTCCCCTCAGTTTGAACCCCAACGTCTGATGGGTAATAGTACCAGTTCTATGTTGATTAACAAGTCTTCTTGCGTGTCTGGTGTGCGTCTCGTTTTTTGCTATGCCGATCTTAATTCCCAAGTCTGCCATTCTGGCGAGTGATGTGGATTCACTGCCACCAAAGTCCTCTGTCCTTCCCCTTTCTCTGAGGGCATTAATAACACCGTCTTTCCAAACAAAAATGTTATAAGGTAGACAACAAATCAAATGGTTTGGACACGTAGCAAGATAAGCTTCAGACAGGACACCACAGAGAGCAATGTTTTTTTTTTTTTGGGTAACCAGAAGCCATGAGTTGTTAACCCTTAGGCTCGGTTTTATGGACATCGCAACCTTTCGGCCTTGATTCCATGATAAATACCGTAAATCTGGGAGAAATGTGGCGTTTCTGCCTGGACCACAAGGAGTTCGTCACCCGGTCACCGCGCAATCCGGTTTAGCCAACTACGCTAGTGAGTACAGATACAGCGGTAACAAATCCAGGGGTCGACCTCTGAGAATATGAACTCCCGAAATATCAGAGACACTGAAAAATACTTTTATACGAAGCGAACAGAATGTGTTCCAGAGATCTCTTCCTGCCCTGACGCCGCGAGGCATTCCAAGAGTTATCAGCTTCTTCTTCTTCTTATTTTTTCTTCTTCTTCTTTGGGTTCACCAGCTGTAAACTTTCTTGAAAAGTGGTTGTTCGTCCACTTCTGGACTGCAGTTCTGTTCCAGAACCTGAGTGTTGCGTGTACATGCGTTTGACAGATCTGACACATCTGTGTGCAGACTGTTGGTTCCTTTCCTCTCAGGCTGATGCACTCCGACTTCGAAGGAAGCTCACAATTAGTCGACTCTTATACGACATGCTTTTGGGTAGGCAGTGGGTCTATTCTTGTTTTTCCTATAATCGGGCCCCAGAACCCACATGGAGTTAGCAGAATTACTGTATATTGAACTGTTACTGTCTGTACGTACCACTTATAAGAGCTGTGTAGACGGGGGAATCGTGTCACTACTGTCTGTACGTACCACTTATGAAAGCAGTGTAGGCAGGGGATCGTGTCACTACTGTCTGTGCGTATGAGAGCAGTGGAGACGGGGAATCGTGTCACTACTGTCTGTACGTACCACTTATGAGAGCAGTGGAGACGGGGAATCGTGTCACTACTGTCTGTACGTACCACTTATGAGAGCAGTGTAGGCAAGGGATCGTGTCACTACTGTCTGTACGTACCACTTATGAGAGCTGTGTAGGCAGGGGGGTCGTGTCACTACAGTCTGTACGTACCACTTATGAGAGCAGTGTAGGCAGGGGATCGTGTCACTACTGTCTGTACGTATGAGAGCAGTGTAGGCAGGGGGATCGTGTCATTACTGTCTGTACGTACCACTTATGAGAGCAGTATAGGCACGGGATCGTGTCATTACTGTCTGTACGTACCACTTATGAGAGCAGTGTAGGCAGGGGATCGTGTCACTACTGTCTGTACGTATGAGAGCAGTGTAGGCAGGGGGATCGTGTCACTACTGTCTGTACGTACCACTTATGAGAGCACTATAGGCAGGGGATCGTGTCACTACTGTCTGTACGTACCACTTATGAGAGCAGTGTAGGCAGGGGATCGTGTCACTACTGTCTGTACGTATGAGAGCAGTGTAGGCTGGAGGATCGTGTCACTACAGTCTGTACGTACCACTTATGAGATCAGTGTAGACAGGGGATCGTGAGCCTGAGGATTAAGGCTAGTGCTTTCGCCACGGAATTTACAGGTTGGGATATTTAATTTTGCTCCGACAGGTAAAACTCAACAACTCTAGTGGGTCGAACCCTGGCCCCCCGCATGAGAGCCTAACGATGTAACCACTCGGCCAGACATAAAGCGCCCCTAGGTTTAGGACAGCACTAACTCCCCCTCCCCCCAAAGCCCTATATAAAACTTTTAGGGTTTGAGGTTTGAACAACATCACGTCACACGGGTAGTAACCCATAAGTGCTCAGTTCTTCTTCTAACTCAAGTCTGAGTCCGAAGAAACTCAGCACAGTCCATATGCTCTAAGCACCGGTGAGGATCCTGAATTACCTTGGGTAGATTTTTAACTCCAAATTTTGCCACGGCAGCGCCGTTAAGATACTCTTTTCGATTTCCAACTTCTAAGGAATATTTTGCGTGCGCAACAATGCACACGGGCGTCCGATCTCACTACCCAGAGACCAAGTGGAATTACTTAAAAGTCCAAGTCCACGTGAAAAAATCCTAGCCCTCACGGGGGATTGAACCCGGAACATCCAGCACTCGAGGCGGGCACCATGCCTCGAGACCACGCAGCACCTACATCAGACTTTAAAGAAATCGGGAAAACATAGTCATCTACAGGAAAAAAAAAATTTGGAACGTTAAATCCTAAAATTCTGAATGCAAGTAATATCACCTCAGAATTACGCAAGAGTTACGAAACAAAATTCCATTGTGTCATGAATGTAATTGTTATCTTACTGACTGATATTAGGCGAGTTGGTTTCCCCCATTCAACACATATCAAGCATCGGAAATTGCAACTCTTACATTCACGACAATATAAAGTGACCGTGTTTTAGTTGCTTGTGAATGGAATCGAAACACCTCTCTAGAAAGGCCGGTCGTACTTGGGGTTTTTCGAAAGTTTGTTAGTATGCAAAGTGATATTATATTGAATTATAAAAACACCAACGACAAACAATACAGCTACACACCTGTAATATTAAACTTTTCTAATCATCAGAAAGGGAGAGCTGTTCTTTTTTGGATCTGCGTTGTGCTTGCTGTTACCATGGTTTCCGTGTTGTGGGTGGCTGTGCTAGTGACCGTTGTCGTCCCTACGGGTAGCATCCCCGTGAAATATTCCTCAACGGAAGAGTATAAGAAAGCCCGGCAGCAGTTGATAGAGTCCGAGCAGTGCTTGAGAGTAGGTGCGGGTGTGGCTCTTACTGACAAGGAGAAGATACTCAACCAGTTTATTCTGAAGGTACTGTGTTCTACGTTGTTTTCTGTTTGGCATACGTACTCTTCTTTCTTTTTCTTTCTTTCTTTCTTTCTTTCTTTCTTTCTTTCTTTCTTTCTTTCTTTCTTTCTTTCTTTCTTTCTTTCTTTCTTTCTTTCTTTCTTTCTTTCTTTCTTTCTTTCTTTCTTTTCTTTCTTTTCTTTCCTTCTTTCTTTCTTTCCTTCTTTCTTTCTTCTTTTCTTTCTTTCTTCTTTTCTTTCTTTCTTTCTTTCTTTCTTTCTTTCTTTCTTTTTTTTCTCTATCTTTTTTCTTTCTTTCTTTCTTTCTTTTCTTTCTTTCTTTCTGGTTTCTGTCTTTCTTTCTTTCTTTCTTTCTTTCTTTCTTTCTTTCTTTCTTTCTTTCTTTCTTTCTTTCTTTCTTTCTTTCTTTATTAATGTCTTCTTCTTCTCATTCTTCTTCTTCTTCTTCTTCTTCTTCTTCTTCTTCTTCTTCTTCTTCTTCTTCTTCTTCTTTTTCTTCTTCTTCTTCTTCTTCTTCTTCTTCTTCTTCTTCTTCTTCTTCTTCTTCTGCTTCTTCTTCTTCTTCTTCTTCTTCTTCTTCTTCTTCTTCTTCTTCTTCTTCTTCTTCTTCTTCTTCTTCTTCTTCTTCTTCTTCTTCTTCTTCTTCTTCTTTTTCTTCTTCTTCTTCTTTTTCTTCTTAGTTGTCTTCTCCCTCAACTTTTCCTCCTCCTCATCCTTCTTCTTCTTCATCTTCTGGTGCTGCTTTAGATTATATAACCAACACCACTTTTTCTTTTCTCCTTCTTCTTCTTCTTCTTCTTTCTTCTTCTTCTTCTTCTTCTTCTTCTTCTTCTTCTTCTTCTTCTTCTTCTTCTTCTTCTTCTTCTTCTTCTTCTTCTTCTTCTTCTTCTCCTCTTCCTCCTCGTCATCCTTCTTCTTCTTCATTTTCTGCTGCTACTGCTTCAGATTATTATAACCAACACAAGAAAAGTAATTAACTAGCATAAATTAGCTAGCGGAATGCGGAAAGGGAAAACAAGGAAGGAGACGAGAACAGAAATATGGTTAGGGCAATAAGTATGTTCCTGTTGAACTGCGAAAGCAGGATAAAGGGAAGACAGTGGTTCTTTTTGTGCAAGGTCCATGAAATATATTACTTACGACCCAGGTAGTGAATATGTGAGAAATGAGTTTAATGACAACAAATCACACATGGGCAGCACCTATTCAGACTACGTGCACGAACTACACGTTATATTCTGAATCAAATAGAATATAATAATCACACACAATATAGGTTTATTTTTATCAATACAAAACCAGCTTGCTTCGCGGATAACATTTACAATCAACAACGTGTTCGAGTAGACCATCCATCTGCTAATCACACCAGCTAACATAGATATTGTTCACCTTCACTTCAAAGCTTTCTACAATCAAAATCTTTGCCCGAGGATGCACATGGAAATCTAGATCTAAAAAAATCCATCTGAAGAACACAGCGCCAGAACACAAATCCCAGTGAATTAATTAATCTCTCTCGGTTCAGGTCAGCTTGTACCCACACTGCGCAAAAACCTCGTGCCGTTTCGGCTACCAGTAGCTAGGACTACATGTCTCGAGTGACTGCGGCTGCCAAAAAACAAATAGAAAGGGCCTCCCCCCCCCCCCCCCCCCCATCACACCCGCTGCTGGGACTTGTATAACCTTCACGACTCGCTCGGCGCTTCAGAGGAGCTACCATCACCAAACCTGCCAGTTTGAGCAGTGCGGCCAAACCAAATTATTGTAACAAGCCAACAGCTTACTCAACCAGCCTGTTACACAAACATATAATAGTTCCCTGATGAGTGAAACCTCTAGTCTCACACTTTGAGAATACCAGCTGAGGTTTCACTTATGAAAAAAAATATAATATCACGCCATCTGGTGGGCAGTCACGTTTATTAGAGTTAATAAAAATAACATAAAGCTGCCACACAAAGAAATTTAAAACCAACATATGTGAATTTCTCATGAACATAAACGGGGGTTAAGGTGAATGCCACTATTGCTACTGACGCCTTTTTTATGTGTTAATGATTATGTGTTGTTCTGCATTGCTCATTCAGTGAAGTTTTTTTTTTTTTTTTGGTCGGCACCTGGTTCGAATTCCAGGTGTATTTATAGAGTTAATTGTTACTGGTTTGTTTTATTGTCTGGCGTGTCCAAGTAGGCAATAAGTAGAGGACCCTCTCTCATGCCTTCAGGCATATTAGGCATACCACTAGACCTATATTTTATAGACCAATCCAAACTCGGTGGGTGATGTGGTCAGCATCACGCAGGTCGTCCAGGAGTGAACCTGGTAGTCATTTAAAGCTGCAAAGACCTGGGAGCCAACGTCATTTTTAAAAGGGTAAAAAAAGAGTGCCCAAGTAAATTAGTAGAAAAAGTAAAGTAGAGTTGTCAGTATGCAAGTAACAACGAACAAACCAACGAACGAACGTTATTTTCAAAGGATCTAACATTCCGCCTTCTTGTCGCACTCCTCGCATGTATTATTTCATTCCTCCCACATTCAACAGTTACATGAAGACTCCTCTAAACATGATGAGACGAACGTAGTATCTGGTGATATCCCACTTTGCATCGCTCCCGGCACTTGTCATAAAAGACAGTCGATCTTTACAGAATAGACTTTCAAGAACGCCATCACTCCAAGATGTGTTTGCTCATGTACTACCCATATGCATGGGGTCAAGACATTAATCTAAAGCATAAAAACTAAGATTATCCATTAACATCATGAAAACAAATTCTTCAGTAAGAACATGAACATCTTCTTCCGACATGTAGTGAACATTTACAGCACAGCTCAGTAAAGAGTTGATAGACAAAGCATTTGTCTTATGTGTGCATTCATTAAAATAAGCAGGCAACTGATCCCTTGATCCTAGCAACAATACATGAATAACCATTGCAATAGACATTGTAGGTAAACACTATCCTGAACTCACAATAATTTATGAACATTGTGTGACCCAAATTATTCAAGAACAATGAATGGCGACAAACAATATGAGTGCATATTAATCTCCTGACTTATATTTATTTAGACATCTTACACATTTACATCCAAAAACATAGTGAAGATCAAAATCTGTTCTTTAATTTTTTTTTTTTATTTCACAAATTGCAAATGGAAAAAATGTACACATATAAAAACTGGCTGTCACGCAAAAATAACAAGAAATGATAACGGACTTGAAAATGTCACAAACTGAATATCTATGTTCTATAATAAATAGCAGTGAAGACTGTTTGATAGAAATTAAAAGGAGGATGGCCGTAGCAATGCAAAGATTAAAGAGCATTAAAAGTCTATGCACCTGCAAGGAGATGAAAATTAGAATTTTGAGAGCATGCATCTTCCCTGTAGCAACATACGGATGTGAGTCGTGGACTATCTCACAGTCTATTAAGAGAATAAGGGCTTTTCAGCTGAAATGCTATGGAAAGATTCTCAGAATATCTTAGACAAAGAAAAGGGGAAATACTGACATCTTGAAAGATCTGAACATCAAGGAAGATTGGCTAAATAAACAGCATTCTCTCTCGGAAGCTGAAATAATTTGGTCATATCAAACGCCACGACGGATTGGGAAAAAAATAATAGCAGAAGGCATGGTACCAGGAAGGAGGGGCAGGTGCCTACCAATATGAAGATGGGCACAGGATATAAGTGACTGCATGAGGCGGCAGAGCTGGCGAGAGACCGAGTTTCTTTCAGGCAGACCGTGATAAGAGCGTTTCTAACCAACCTTTTAGCCCTCGTCAGTGTCATCACCCTTGCCTTTACAAGATCGCTGTGTGGGTTTCCAGGCCCCTTTCTGGAGATCGGGGGTGGGGGAGGAAGGGCGGATGGGCCCATGGCCTCGCTAATAAGCATGTCGTACAAGGCGACTACTTCGGGTCGCATCCTTCGAACTTGGAGTGCATCAGCTTAAAAGGCGAGGAACAAACAGTATGTATAGAATATTGCCAGATCTGTAAAAAGGATGTGCAAGCAAACCCCAAGTTCTGGAACAAAAACCAAAGTCCAGAAATGACAGAACAACCAGAACTTTCCGCTGGAGTTTACAGCTGGTGAACGCTAAGAAAAGGTCTTCATCAGGAAGCCAAAATAATAACATTTAAGTAACGTTGAATAAAAAAAAAAAAAAAGGCAAATGTCGACTTTAAACGGGGAGACAAGATTGGAAAGTTGCGTTTTCCTCCCTTAACGAGGATGATAGATGCGGTGGCGGTGGAAAATGATAAAATGGGACTCAGTTTGAATAATGGGAAGACAGAAGTAATGGTGATTTCCAAGAAAAGAATAGTGCCTAAATGTATAATACAAGTCAAAAGCGTTATTTTAGGAAAATTACACAAATTCAAGTATCTAGGCACATAGATAACATCCAATGGAAGATGTATCACAGAGATAAAGAAAAGGATAGGACAGGCCAAAACCACATTTTATTAAATAAAGAACATTTTGTGCAATAAATCCATGTCTTTGTAGGTTAGGAAAAGAATTATCGCATGCTTTGTTGAGCCAGTTTTAACATACTGGTGTGAAGCGTAGAGAATTAATAAACAAGTCGAACAATGTCTTGAGGCCACGGTTATACAGAAGAATCCTTTGAATTCCTTTGACAGCTAAGAAGAGCAACTCAGATGTTTTGAGAGAAGCGAATGTTCGAAAACAACTTATCACAAACATCAGAAAGAGACAGTCATAATTCTTTGGTCATGTTATGAGAAGAGGAAAAATGAAACATGTTGTGACCACTTAAGAGATGTGGCAAAAGAGACAGAAGAAGACAGCGTGAAAAAAGATTTTTGACAGTCTTTTGTCATGGCATGGAAAGGTGTCAACACACGAACTGGTGGTACACATAGTTGTAGATCGCAGATTGTGGAGAGGCATGATCGCCCATGCCAGTCGGCAAGTCATTTGATGATGACCAGGATCTACATACCTGGAAATGTCGGTGTAAAGGGTAAGAAATATGCTGACTAACTAGCACACACAAATACAAGATGGAATAAACATGGACAGAGCTGATACAATTTATGTTTTACAAACTAGGTTGAGGGATAATATCGAGTCCCTGGAGCTAATCAGTATATTTTACCTACAAATAAAGTCTGGTGAAGCATGTCTTTGAGGTCAGTATAGGCCGTATCCCAACAAAGGAGATGTTTTGTCCACCTGACGAGAATGCCCTGGTACCAACCGCCATAGAGAGACAGAGCAAGGAGAAGAACACGCAAGATATGTAGCGACACTATCAGGAGCAACCTAACGGAGATGAACACCAACTTGTAGAATGCATTGGAAAAAGCTCACAAACGATCATTACAACTCCCCCAATACCTCGCTGAGGTAAATAGTAAAAGAAAAGAAGAACAAGACAATATGGCGTAAAATGACCAGCTTCGCATACGGATATTTAGTTTAAGTATTGAAGGGTAGCGGCGTCCGTGGCTAAGGCGTTGCGAGTCTGACTCGTATTCTAACGTACCGCGATCGAAACCTGCGTAGGCTGCGTGGATTTTTATCGTGGTATGGGACGTCGCAGGTCGACCCAGCCTCAAATGGGTACCAGGATGGGCTGTCCTGGGAAAGTAAAGACGGCCGGCGTAATGCTGACCATATTACCCACCGAGTGCCGAGTGGTCTGTAAAAATATGGGTGCTCTTCCCATATGCCCGATGCGCCTAAGGGATCTTTACTTTTTTTTACTTTTTTTAATGAAGGGTAGCTATTGTATAGGAAACCAAAGCATGCAAGGAAATGTCCCGTGCGATGGGTCGTAATAGCAAAGTATAATTAAATAATACGTATTAGAAGAGGACTGTGTGAACGCATTATGAAGACAAGTCATCATCAGTTTCCACGTTTGCCGTTAAGCGTCAGGAGAAACAGTTTGCGATTGATTGCTTGATGGGCGGTAATGGCTATTGTAATTCAGTGTCGACATAGTAGATCCTTAACGTCATCAGTCCATTGTCACCTAGGTCGACCTCTTTCTTTCACATCAGATATTTTCATGCGGTGTAGCGGTTAGACGCCCGCCTGCGGATGGAGAGGTAGTGGGTTAGGGTCCTTGCTGCACCGGATGTTTTTTTTTAAAATGACTAAATGTATAATAAAAGTCAAAGACGTTACTTTAGTAAAATTACAAAAATTCAAGTATCTAGGCACATGGAAAACATCTGATGGAAGATGTATCACAGAGATTAAGAATAGAATAGGACAGGCCAAAACTGCATTTTACCAAATAAAGAACATTTTTTGCAATAAATCCATGTCGACATAGCATTGAGTGGGTACCGGGTACAGTCCTGGATGTAAAGGCTGTCGGTGTGATGTTGACCACATCAATTCCGAGTTCTGATTGGTATTAAAAAAATATAGGTCTAGCCGTGTATTTCCACTACGCTTGAAGGCGCAAAAAACAGAACCCTCTTAGCTGTGTCCGTAGTTGATGTAACTGCAATTCAACGACACGACCAAACAGTTTGATCTTCTGTTTCTCAATAAATTTGTTGAATTATTCCTATAGCCTGATTGACAGTATCATGTCTCCCTTTGTCTTGGATGGTCAACTTGGCAGCTTGATTTCGGTGTCTCGTTTAACAGGTGTTAATTTTACGTAACTAAGCATCTGATCATGTCCAAGTCAGACACTGGTAGCACATTGTTGGTATGAATATGCTTCTTGTAGTCTGTTTCTTGGTGCCCATACTTATATTTGGATGTATTAATAGCGGCGTCATTTGGTACATAAGTACACTGACTTGTTGGTATCTTTTGTCTAATTCCCGAGAAAACAGTAACATAATATTAATAGCAGCCTACCGTAGAATGGACAGATGATACTCCATAGTTTCGACATGCGCGGCCCGATTCCCTCGCACTTTAAAATGTTTTATTCATTTGTTTTACAGGAAAAACGAGCAATGATGAACAGCAGTCGGCTAAACAGAACAGGCTATATACCAGCTGTGAGCTTCTTCCTGTCAAAGTCCACGATCGAGTCAACTCCAATATTTAAGATCATCAAGCAAATGCCAAAAGGTAAATAATATATCGTTATCACTAAGGAGTTTGTCTTTGTTTTGAATTAGCATCAGTTAGAACTTTTCTTACGTTCACCTGCGTATCACAAGGTCGTGGTTTCGGGTCTTGGTGGAGCTGAACTTTTTTTTCAAAAATTTCCTTTGCTCTCAGTTCGACCTGGCCTTGAGTGAGAACCAGGTACAATTATGGGAAGGCGGCCGGCGTGATGCTGATCACATCAAAATTCCCAGTCCGCCTCAAGGCGTGGAAATAGTACTTTACTTTTTCTCTATTTTTAAATTACTGTTCTTTCTTTCTTTTTTTTTTCAAACCTTTTTTCCGAGTGGAAAAAGCCCACAATGAACATATCTATTTCTTTTTAACGTTTGTCTTCTCTTTTTTTTTTTAAATACTAAACTGTGTTTATGTTAACTAGTGTTTTTTTTTTTTAAACCAGTACGTTACAGACATGAAAAAGGGGTCTTTTGAAGGTGTTTAAACACAATAAATGACTAGAACTTTGTTCACTTGCAGGTGCGGCCTTGCATCTGCACGACTTGGCCATTGCAAGCATTGACTGGATTGTGTCCAACGCCACCTACCGGGATAACGTGTACATGTGTATAGACGTTGACAACTTCGTCCTTCTCAACGTCTTTCTGAATCCTCCTGTAAACACCAGTGCTAGCAGTCTACTTTTTCCTGGTGAGTTGGTCGTTGTTCCCATCCAGAATTACTAACCCTGGAATGAACAGCTCAGGGGTGAGAACAAAACGGAAGAACATTCCGGTGCCCCTTTCATCTGTAAAACAGTTATATTTGCGCACTTAAATGGTTAGTTTTAATTGTCAGCTTTTAGATGTGATGCCTAAGAAAAACGCTGACAAGTTCACAAACACTGAGACATTCCAAAGAGCAAGTATTACATCGGGTTTTGTTCAATGCTCTGTCAAAGAAGGCTCAGGTGGCTGGGCTACATCTAGAGAATGGAGGATGTAGAGTCCCTGAGGACATCCTCTGCCTAGAAGAGGTCGAGACCAATATTTACTACGATATAACGATATGTGCCAGCGGGACATGAATGATAGAGGTATTTTGATGGATTCGTGGGAAGAAAATGACCGGAATCGTGTTGCATGGAGAGGGCACACCATCAAAGATGTTTATTGTGAGTGTAAATGTGTGGTTGTGGGTGTCTGTACATGTGATTGTATGCGTATGTATGCATGCATGCATGTGTAGGTGTGTATGTTTGTGTATGTATGTAGATGCGTGTATGTATGTATTAGGTATGTCTGTGTATGACTGTGCATGTATGAGAATGTAAGAGTATATATACGTGTGTGTGAGTGTGTAAGATTGTGTACACATGATGTGGGTATGCACTATTCTATAATGCATATTTCTTTATTATATCCATAAGATGCATTATTGATAACAGGCATTGGTACTCTAAAAAATGAGTGCTTAGAAGGGCCGAATGTCAGACGGACCTGTATGCTCAATTTGTAACCCTTTGAAAATAAAGTTTGTTCGTTCGTTCGTTCGTTCGTTCATGAAAAAAAAACAGTACCCTCCTCCTGCTTCTCAACATCATCCAGTGCCCTTTCTGACTGACGTAGGCGATCTTACCTCGCCACAATCTACGATCCGCAACTGCGTTTTTCATTTCTTTGTTGACACACCTCCATGCCATGATAAAAGACTGCCAAGGATCTTCTCACGCTGTCTTCCTCTGTCTCTCCTTCCACAAATTGTTCAAGTGGTCATAACATGTTCCATTTTCCCTCTTCTCATAACATGGCCAAAGAAATGTCTCTTTCTGATGTTTGTGATAAGTTGTCTTAGACCACCTGCCTCTCTCAAGATATCCGGGTTACTCTCCCTAAGTGACCAAGGACAACCCTCCATCATCGGTTTTCCTCAGGCCAGTATGACGTTCACCGTGACTAAAATACTTCAGATTTCGGGGCAGGATGCTGTTTATGAGCCAGTTCTCCTTATGTTCAGATCACACAGGACAGGGCTATTCAACTGCTGGCCGGCAGGCATGCATCCGGCCCGCAAAGGTCTAGCCAGTGGCTCGGGAATCATTGTCAGTTAAATTGTATTGATGATGTTTCTATTCTAGGGTTTGGGCCTCCATGACGATAATCATTTTTAACAGTTTGGCCTGTAACTGAATTTAGTTGAATAGTGTAGATGTTGATGTTATTCTTCTTGATCCCCCAGGATATTATAAGAATTGTTCTGTAACATTTCAGTTCAAAGGATCTGAGTTTATATAAACTGTACAAAACTGTAATAATTTGACGTCTGCCTAGGTTGCGTATGGAAGCTGGTAAAGACAGAGAGGAGCAACTGGGGCAACAGAACAGACTTCGATCTCTGGTTAGTTTTCTTGTTTTTTTAGATTGTCCACTTCTTTGGTTGTCTGTTGTGTACACCTTTGCCGATCTTTCTTCTGTACTAATGTGAATGCTAGAAGCAGAATAATTAAATGATGACAAAGCTGCATATAGAGCAGATACGTGTGGTTTTATAGATGAATGTGATGACACGACTGACAGATAAAAAAATGGAAATGCAAATGTCTGGGAAGACATTACATCACAAAGAGATTTGAATACTTAC